AGCACGAAGCCCTCGGGTGTGGTGCTGGAGCACGGGCGTGCACGGCAGGGGGATGCAGAGGTCCGAGGAGGTGCTGGAGCGCGACGCAGGGCCGGGGCGCAGCCGGGCCAGCCACGGTGGTCCACGCGACGGCGGACGGTCCTCGTCGCCAGTGGGAGGGGACGGCCGCGCAGGCCCCCGGCGCTCGGGCCACGTTCCAGAGGAGCAAAAAACGCACCTAGAGGAGCAACAAAGCGGCATGAACAGAAACTTTCGCCGGTCCGCGCGGATTTCTCGGATCTGCGCTGGAGCCCCTTCCTGGCGCGCGGAGCTCGCCCGGGGCGGCGCCGGAGGCGCCGCCAGGTGGGCCCAACGCAGATCCAAGGAATCCGCGTGGAGCGTCAAAAGTTTGTGCTTACGCTGCTTTTTCTTCCTCGATTCCTTGAGGGGGGTCGAGAGGGGTGGGTGGGGCAGGTTCGAGGGTTATGTTGTTCGAACTTCAGGACCACATCCCAGAAATAATTCCGAGCACCCAGAGAAGTATCGAAACCGTGTCAAACGAGTGTCGCCTCCCTGGGGCACAGCACGTGAACACCCTCCCGCTTCGGTGCTTCGTTGGTGCTCGAAATTCTTTCTGGTAGTCAAGGCTAGAGTGGGTTGGAACATAATACAAGGCAGTTGTTAATACATAGGACATACATATATATATATATAAAATATTTTAATACATGGTTAATCTATGAATAAATTCATGCATGAAATAATCGTTGTTTTTAATGCTAACCCCCTGCATTCTTAATACATGATCCGCACGCGGAGCATGTATAAAGAACGGCACTGTAGTTCGAGGGGCCGGCGCTGGCCTCGAGTCGGCGATGCATCGCCTGCAGGTCCGCGATCGGCCCCCGAGGGGCGCAGCCGCACGCCCCTCGGCGGGGCTGCGTGGGGACGGCCAGGGTCCCGACGGGCGGTGCAGGGGGCGATTGGGGGCCAACGCCCTCCTCCTCCTCCTCCTCCTCCTCCTCCTCCTCCTCCTCCTCCTCCTCCTCCTCGAGCTCCTCCTCCTCGCTCCTTGCTCCTCGCTCCTCGCTTCTCCTCCTCGCTCTCCTCCTCCTCCTCCTCCTCCTGCTCCTCCTCGCTCCTCCTCCTCCTCCCTCCTCCTCCTCCTCCTCCTCGTCCTCCTCCTCCTCCTCCGTCCTCCTCGTCGTCCCTCCTCCTCCTCCTCCTCCTCCTCCTCCTCCTCCTCCTCCTCCACCTCCTCCTGCTCCTCCTCCTCCTCCTTCTCCTCCTCCTTCATTCCTTCTCCTAGTAAATAATTTCTCCCTGTCGCACCCCGAGGCCAGTTTCTAGGGCGGGCCGGGCGTTTCGCCCGAGACTTCCTCACCGTGTATGACTCAGAAGATAAACAAGTGGCAACAGTTTCACACATGGGGGGCAAGTCGTTTTCAATATGTGTCTCTCGCCTTAACGCCGCGCGCATTCGTCTTAAACTTTCGCAAGAGTTTCACGGATTGATGGCGGGTGGTTTTCAAAATGTGGCTAGCGCCGCGCACATTCGTTCAAACATTTGCAAGAGTTTCATGGATTGAGGGCGGGTCGTTTTCAAAATGTGGCTCTCGCCATAGCGCCGCGCGCATTCGCTTTAAACATTTTAAGGGCTTCATGAATTGAGGGCGGCTCCTTTTCAAAATGTGGCTCTCGCCTCAGCGCCGCGCGCTTTCGTTTCAAGCATTTGCAAGAGCTTCACGGATTCAGGGCGGTTCCTTTTCAAAATGTGGCTTTCGCCCGAGCGCCGCGCACATTCGCTTGCAAACTTTGCAGGAGTTTCACGGATTCCCCTGATCAGCGTACTAGAACTTGTGTTTTGCCAGGATTCAGGATTATGCGGGTGCAGCAGCTACGTTGATTCGCGGTGTTGACATCCCAACAATGGCGCTCTGGCACGATTTCGGATCATCAAGACGCAGCAGTCAGGTTGATACGTGGCGTTGAAATCCCGAGAACAATGTTTTGGCATGCTTCAAGATCTTCAAACGGTTGTCTTTCAACGAGGCAGTTCCCTCAATGAAAATGAACCGTTGTGGGGGCTTATGAAGAGGGAGCTTTGAGGGAGGGTTCATTCCAACATCGTTGATGACTCTTGGGTTTACACTGGTCCTCCTCCTCCTCCTCCTCCTCCTCCTCCTCCTCCTCCTCCTCCTCCTCCTCCTCCTCCTCCTCCTCCCCCCCACAGGCTCCCGAAGTCATGATTCTGTGAACGCTTTCTGGGGTGGGTGGGAGGGGGAGGTCTGGCTCTGGACCTCTGCTTAATTAGTGCGACTGTATGCAGCAGTGCGTCCAATGGAGGAGACTTCACCTGCTTGAAACGAGCGCCACAAACAGCCAAGGTCTACTTCATGGGGGGGGGAGGGGGTGCGAGGACCCGCGCCGATCGGCAGAACAAGGAAGAAGAACACGATCACTATTTTGCGACGTCGACGCCCAAATGTCTCCACCCATTCACCGCGACCGCTGCTGCACACCCCGAACCGTCTCTTTTTGGCCGGCGAGGGCCCACGGAGGCCCAATGTAGCCAACAACCTCCCTTGCGGATCTTTCCAAGAACCGAGGGGGTCTGGGCCCTGGGCCGGCCCGCCCACTGGCTTTGCCCCTGGCTCCTCCTCCTCCTCCTCCTCCTCCTCCTCCTCCTCCTCCTCCTCCGCCTCTTCCTCGCTCCACCCTCCTCCTCCTCCTCCTCCTCCTCCTCCTCCTCCTGGCGTTGCCCCTGGCTCTTGCTGTGTGCCGATGCCGCCCGGCCCGCGCCCGAAGGGGGCGGCCCGACCCGCGCCTCCACGTGCGCCAACGTTCCCGGGGCGCAAGCGTGGCCTGGGGCGCAGGCGTGGGCCGATGGCCTCCCGTGCTGCCGCTGCCGCTCCTGCGGGGGGGTCGTCGTCGTCGTCGTCGTCGTCGTCGTCGTCGTCGCCAGGGCCGCCGTCGTCGTCGTCGTCGTCGTCGTCGTCGTCGTCGTCGTCGTCGTCGTCGTCGTCGTCGCCGTCGCCATCGTCGTCGACAACGACAGCGCGGGGAGGGAGCGGGGCGGCCGCGCGCTGCCATGGGTTTGGAACTTCGGCAGCCTGCCGCTCTGCGCCCAGGCGGTGGCCCAGTGCCTCCCGCCTCCTCCCGCTTCCTGCCCTCTCCTCCTTCCTCCTCCTCCTCCTCCTCCTCCGCCTCCTCCTCCTCCTCCCCTCCTCCTCCTCCTCCCTCCTCCTCCTCCTCCTCCTCCTCCTCCTCCTCCTCCTCCTCCTCCTCCTCCTCCCTCCTCCTCTTCTCCTCCTTTCTTCTCCTCCTCCTCCTCCTCCGCCTCCGCCTCTTCCTCCTCCTCCTCCTCCTCCTCCTCCTCCTCCTCCTCCCTTCGCCTCCCTCGAGTTCTCTCCTGTCTTTCGACCAAACTCCTGCCAACGCGCTGCTCCGGCGCGGGCGTTCCCTGGCAGACGGGGGAAAGCGCCCAGAGACTGCGTGCATGATTTAGGTGGCCGGCGTCGACGACCTGCATGCCACATGCCTCATCTTGCCATCGTTCGGACGTCCGTTCCTCGTGCATGTTTCGGTTTCGTGCGTGCCTTCTTTGCCAGATGATCGAGGATGCTCCTCGACGGTCCTCGATGCCACGTCCTCCTCCTCCTCTGCCTCTTCCTGCTCATGCTCCCGCTGGCCGCCCAGGAGGGCCACCAGGCAAGGCCGCCCCGAGGGGGCCGTCGCGGAGGGGCGCCCCGAGGCGAACCCCGAGGACCGCCCCGAGGGGCGCGCCCCTGAAGCGGGCGCCCCCTGAAGCGGGCGAGGAGGAAGCTCGAGCGGGGACGGAGGGAAGGGTCGAGCTCAAGCGGGGGGGGGTCCAAGAAACCGGGGAGGGCAGCGGGGGGTGGAGGGACGTCGTCGTCATCATCGTCCGTCGTTGACCCGGTCGTCGGTCGTCGTCGTCGTCATCGTCCGTTCCCACACGCATCGGGAGCGCCCCGGACCGGCGGCACTGGCCGGAGGCCATTACAATAGACACAAATCCCAAGATTCCATATATTTCGAGATCTTCTGGAATTTCGCCTCCCCCCCTCTTCCCACTTCTCTCTTGCCATATTTTCCTGGAAATCTACGATTCATGGTGTCTCTGTGTGCTTTTTCCCTTCCTGCGCTCAGACATTCCTGATTTGTCCTCATCCTGCCTTCGTCTCTGGAGGCTCTCTCCAGGTCCCGGGGGCCCACGGGCACCGACCCACGCCGCGGAATCCATCCATCCAGCAGCTGGGGCTCCGGTGCTCCAGCGGATTAAGCGGATAAAACGACGCGAAGATCGGGACAAAATCGGATCGGGATAACTCGAAATCTCTGAGAATCGGCGGGTTTGGAGGATGTATTGGGCGCCGCGGCCGCTCCAGAGCGTTCCGGAACGCTCTGAGAGCGCTCCGGAACGCTCTGGAGCGATTTATCCCGATCCTAGCCCTGTTTTAGCGGATCAGGCCGTCGGCCCCCTCCCCACCCCACTCCGCTGCTTCTGCCCTTGCCGATCCCTTCTCGGGGTCGGCGGAACCGGCCGTCGCTGCAGTACCGGGGGCAGTCAAAATCTCAAGATGCCCCCTGGCGCGCCGGAGGCACGGTGGTGGACAGCAGCAACGATAGCAACAGCAAATCGCGACGAGCAAGAACACGGGAAGCGACGGCCGCGAAAGGCAACATCAACCAGTTCGAGCAAGGCCACACGAGGCGATCCATCTTCTCGAACTTCTCGTCGGGCCACTCTTCCGTATCCTGAGCGATTGCGCCATCCATGCGACTCTCCAACTTGACTTTAGTTCACTGTCTCGTGCAATCTACCTCAGGATGCTAAGCTGACTATAATTCACAGCTGCATGTCTGTTACACTTGAGCTTGCATGTCCGAGGCTGTGCTCTACTCCCTTGTCAGACATGTCTCCCTTGAGTGCTCAGTGCTCCCCCTCTGCTGCCATCTCGCCCTTGCAGCAACGAGCTCCTCAATGAGTGGTATGCAGCTCAGGGTGCAACATGGCAAGAGCGAGTATGACGAAACGAGCTGCAATCAAACAGAGTCGACAGAACTCAAGTACTGCGAGGACTCACATGCACGCCACAACTCACTCTTGAAGGTGTCTTTTTTTAACGGCGGGCTTGCAAATCTCCATCAGGCGGCGGTTAAGATCGGACACGAACATGGAAATACAGCTGCCAAGGCAGTGTGAAACAACTTATGCGCCACTGTGCCTCCTGGCACGTTCAGGCGTGGTAGAATGCCACTGGCTCTCTGGTCGGGTTTCTTTAGTCTTCTAAGGCCCCCCCCCTCGAGGCGCTTCGTTGCATGCACCGCCCGCCATTCCCGATGCTCTCTGGGCTTCCACGCCTCCCCGGCGCTTTGGGCTTTGGAATGCCCGAGGTGGCTGCCAAAACAGGTCAGGCAGGCCACCAAGGCTGCCAAGATGGCCCAAGAGGCCACGAGACAGCCCAATAGACCACGAATACTGCCCAGGCCTGAATATGCCTGGGCTTGTTCTGCTTTTCGAATTGGTAGACATCTTGGTTTTCGTATTCTCGCCTTTTCGGACTTCGTCCCAGGAGGCCTCCAGTGTAACCTTAAGGTCGGGCGTGTCCTCCTACAGGCGGATTTTGGACGAAACATTAAAAGTAGCGCTTAAAAAATCAAAACATGATCAAACATACTCAAAAAATTGTCCCCAGACTATTTTTTCCCCAATCAGAGCTTGCCTCTGTAGGGGTCCTAGCGGATTCATATGGTTAGGTTAGGTTTGCCGCCGATTTTCGCTGCACGCCCGGGTGCCTGGGTGCCCGGGTGCCTGGGGGTGCCCGGGTGCCCGGGTGCCCAGGCGTGCCCGGGGGTGCAGGGTGCACGGGGGTGCTCTATAGCCCTATAGCCCAATAGCCCTATAGCCCTATAGCCCTACAGCTCTATAGCTCTATAGCCCTATAGCCCTATAGCTCAATAGCCTTATAGCCCTATCTCTACAGCCCTATACCCATATACCCCATAGCCCTATACCCCTGTAGATCTATCACCCTATAGACCAATAGTCCTATAGCACATATAGGCTTATAGCCCTACAGCCCTAAAAATATTATGTTTTGTTTTTTTCTCCGGTGTTTTTCTATTCTTGAGGGACACGCCCGACTGAAGTGTAACCCCAGGACGGCCCAGCCCCCCGACCCCAGAGGCCCAACAAGCTCTCAAAATGGCCCAGGCGACCTCCAACAATACGGCCCCAACACGGCCAGTGGACGGCCCCAACACGGCCAAGAGGGTGGCCCCAAGGCTGCACCAAAAGACTCCAAAGATGATCTTTCTGAAGAGGCCCTGGGACACACAAATCAATAGGCACGAATTCCAGGATGCTTGATATTTCCTGAGATTTTCTGGACTTTCGTCTTCCCCCCCACACTTCCCATATTTTATCCTTTTCTCCTGGGGATCGACGATTGATTGTGTCTGTGTGCTTTTTCCCCTCCTGACTTTCGGGCCCCCGAGCGGGCCCAAAGGCGGCCCGGAGAGGTCCCCCGAAGGACTTCCAGGGCGCCGGGGCTGCCACAGAGCCCCCGGTAGGACGGCCCAAGGACCCCCCAAGGCCCCGAGAGGCCATCTATGCGCTCCCAACATGCCACCCAGAGGCCCCAAGAGTGAAGGAAGGAAGGAGATGATAAGAGGAGTGCGACGACGAGGAACACGAGGAGAGACACTCCGACATGACGCGGAAGAGCGCGACACATGGGACGGTTCCCCTAAACTTGAGCACACGAGGCGTCATACGTTTCGGCTTCCTGTACGCCCCTCGCACATTTTCACCGAGAGATCTGAGTTGACTCGGCGGCGGGACTTGCTGGAAGCACCTGGATAACGGCGGGCTGGCTGGCCCATATAGCCAGGGTTAGAGACAGATCATGGCATGAATTTCTGGACAATCGGCTGTGTGTATCAAACCCAGTTCTCAATAGACAAGTGACGTCCATCCTTGTCGCTAGTGCGGACAATACAAATGACCAATTCCGAATCAAACCCTCGATTCGGCCAATGTTTTCGGAAGCTGGATTGGCTCCCTGTATGCAATACTCATGGCCTTCCCTGGCGACCACCATGGGCCTCGAGCTGCCAGGCTGATATGCCGCTGCTTCTGTCAATACCAATGGAACCACTATCGGCCTGTTTCTACTGGCGTTTTTCATTCTTCGTGCAAAGCTGTTTTGACGACCTGGAAGCTGCTTAAACATGTCACGACCTTCTCGAAGTTGCGCGCACCGAGAAGCCGTGCACCGCGCCCTTTGCAAGCTCAATGGGGCGCCGCCATCGCTATCCAACCATGCCCTGCTGTACTCTACGTCTGATCTCATTGCCCACAGGCTCGACATGTGCAACGTATAGCGACTACACAAATGTGTCAACTCGGTCCTACTGCTACTACCGTGTTTTCTGCTGCCACTATTTCAGCTGCTCCTGCAACCAATGCTACTACGACTCGCACTACCGGTACCACTTCTGCTGCCTCCACTGCTGCTGATACAGCTGCTCCCTTGTTGTAATCAGACACTAGACTGGCACTGGGGCAAGAGCACTGTGACCATTCAGGTGTTGTGGCTGGCGCACCAGCATGCCAGGAATGTGGCTGGCACTCAGGCAAGAGCACCACTCGCAGACAGGAGTGCCGCTGTCGCGAAGGCAAGGAGCAGCGCTCCCGGCCAGGGGCGTGGCTGGCGCGGCGGCGAGAGCGCAGGTCTCGGCCAGGAGCGTGGTCGGCGTGAGGGCCAGAAAACGACCTCCTCCTCCTCCTCCCCCTCCTCCTCCTCCTCCTCCTCCTCCCTCCTCCCTCCGCCGCCCTCCCCCTCCCTCCCTCCCCTCCCCTCCCCCCTCCCCTCCCCTCCCCTCCCCTCCCCTCTCAGAATGTGGCTGGCATCCACGCGAGAGCGCCACTCCCAGTCGGAGGTGCAGGCGGTGCTGGGGCGAAGGAGCACGGCAGCGGGCGTCGCCCCGTCGCGGCGCGGTCCTCTCGTTAAGGGGCGCTCGCGCGCGAATATCGGGGTCTCAAACATGTGGAACCGCAAGGGAGGAGGAGGAGGAGGAGGAGGAGGAGGCGGAGGAGAGGAGGAGGAGGAGGAGGAGGAGGAGGAGGAGGAGGAGGAGGAGGAGGGAGGAGGAGGAGGAGGAGGAGGAGGAGGAGGAGGAGGAGGAGGAGGAGGAGGAGGAGGAGGAGGAGGAGGAGGAGGAGGAGGAGTAGCGAGCGCATGAGGGGACGCGCCGAGTCGGGATACGGGGCAGAGAGCAGACGATTGGGAAAAGGTGAGAACGCACAATCTCTCACAGACAGAGTGGGGAACACGAAAGGGCATGCCCAAACATGTCCCCTCGCACACGCCCGACGACGGGCCTGTGGAGCAGAGACAGGCCAGGAAGCTGACCTGGACACGGGGCCGATCCATTCACCAGACCCCGCACAGAGATATTAAGAACAAAACGAATTGAACCGAATTCACGAGGCCAGCCCAAGCCACTCCACAGCGGGGTCAGAGACCAACATGCGCCGAGGGAGGGGGATGGGGTGCTTGCGGCCCTCACTGGGGTGCCGCCCCTCCGCGAAATTGTTCCGCCTCCATTTCCTCTGAGGGTTGCCCTCAAAGGCCTTGGGGCCCTCGCATTCATTATAAAGCTGGGATCGGTGAGCACGCTCAGAAAAAGGATCCGCAGCGCATGCATCCAACCACGTCGCCCGCTCGGTAGAGCACATGGCCTCGAGAGGCCTGAGGGGGGACCGTCCCCTCCGCAGGGAGCACCGTGCTGGGAGGGACGGCATTGGCCCTCGTAGTGGCCGCCGCAAGTCTAGGGCGCTTCTCCGAGCCAATCGGGGGATCCAGGGCGAGCGTGGCATCCCTAACACGGGTCTGGACAGGCGGCTCGAACTGCACTCTCGGCTTGACCCTACGGGGGGCTCGGATGAAAGCCTCCGCCTCCTCGACCTCAGGCCTCCTAGACTTACCCACAATCCTGACCCGCGGGCTCGGGTGGGGAGGAGGAGGAGGAGGAGAAAGGTCAGAGGACGAAGTCGGGGAGGAGGGAGGATCACCGCGCAGCGCCTTCCTCCCAGGGCCGTCCTCGTCTTGACCGCCTCCTCGGCCGTCTTGGCTGCCCAGAGGCCTCTTGGGGGCCTGACGGGGGCCAAGGGGGGGGGCTCCGCGGGACCTCGTCGGGGCTGGACTGGGGCTCAGGGGCCTGAGGTTCCGAGGGGCGGTGCACTGTACACACCTCGAGGGCCATGCGCCTTCGTCCCGATGCCGTCCGCGCGAAGCGCTGACAGTATTTACATTTCCATCCTTTGGCCAGCGTGGGCCTGATGTCATGCAGGCGCTGGCTCGTAGTCAGTACTGGGCGGTGGTGTCCAGGCCGACGGCGTCGCTGAAGTCGTCGGCGTGACTTTCGCGCTGGCGGTGGCTGGCGGTCCTGGTTCCCAACCAACGTCATAGAGGACCCAATCCAGCACGCAACCTGCCTGACAATGTTGATCATGTTCGAGTGGAGCTGAATGGCCTCCGACGGCAACGCGTGCATAGCCAGGCCCCTCTTTGCTGCGACATCTGCATAGTCATTGCCCTTCTTATCAAATGTGGCCTCGCCTTGAGTCTGGTGCGATCGAACATAAGAGATCTCCAGCTGCGAGGATAAGCCTCCATGATCTTGGATAGTCTGCCATAGCATTCTCCACAAATCACAATTCGGCCTGCGTGGGTGCGTGCACCACTCTGGCCCACATAAGAGGGCTTCCGCAGTGCCCAGGCAGTCCGTACGGATGTGCATAGGCAGCATTCCATGTCGTAGCACTTGAATGACAGCGTATAGTTCAGCACGCGGAACTGATTGCTGTTGTCCTGGGAGAGGTCCGCACGCAATCCCTCGAAGAGCCTGACCTGTCATCATTGCGATTCCCCAGCCAGCCCTGTTGGCTTCGGGCCAGGCTATGGGGGAGAGCCCTGATCCATCCGTGTAGATATCTCCCGTCAGCATGGTCATGTCGCCTCCATGGGCGAAACTCCAGGCATCCTCCATGGCTGGTGGCGGAATGCCAGGCAAGGCGTCCCTCGGCATCAGGCCTCGGGTGAACAAGAGGTCGTTGTGAGGTGAGGCCCGAGCCGCCTGGATGATGTCAGCGTCAACTGCGGCCTCTCGTTCTTGCTGGAGCAAAGGGCAGGACCATAGACGGTGATGGGCTGTTCCAGGGCAGTCCAAGCAATACTGGCATACGTTGTCTGTAGCATATCCATGTTTGTGTAGTCGCACCTGGGACCACTGACCACCTATGATTGAGATGCGTAGTGCTGCTCGAGCCTGCTCCGATAAGTGCCATTTCTTGGCCAGCTCCTTCGGCGCCAACAACATCTTGAGAGGTCCCATCCAGTAGCCACAAGGTCTCCTGAGTGGTGGTTCGTCTTCTGGCGCATGATCTCGCTGGCGACTCCAATCTTCAAATTTCACGTTGACAGAGTCCCGTCTTGCGAGAACTCTGAGCCACTCAGGGCTGTCCGTAGTGAGGTCCAAGGCTGCCCCTGCGCATGTAGTCCATGTCGTCGCCGTCGTCGCCCGCCAGTTGAGAGTATGAAGTGCCACCAATACAGCTCCTGCAGGGCCTGCCACTTCTGAATGCTTCGGGGTGGATCCTAAGATCTGGCGCTGCTGCAGGAAAGCCTTCTCCAGCACATAGTTGGGCACCTTGCTGTCTTGAACGAGCATGGCCCACGTGTAGAGGGGGCCCACGATCGCCATCATCTCAGGGTGTTCAAAGAAACGCGGCTCGAGCTGAGCCGCCAACCAAACTGAGGTGCCTGGAGGAGTGCGCAGCCAACCCACTCGAACCATGCTAACCATCGACTTGATCAGCGTCTTGGTGGCGCCGGCGATCTGGATGCCGTACTGCATGGCGGGGGCAACGCATGGCTGCGCCACCGCTCGGCCGATCTTGGCAAGACCACTGAGCCTCTTGAAGCGCGGGATTCTTTTCTTCATCTTGCGCACCCTCTTGCGAATCGTTTCGAAGCTCAGTCTGTGCCCGCCTTTAGCCTCCATGCCCAGTACCTCCAGAGTTCTGTAAGGTCGAAAACCGTGCCGATGGACCTGCTGCGTTACCTGCTGTGCAATAACAAAATCTGATGCCAACACTTTCGCCTTGTCCTGAGCAATAGGAAGATCAAGGGCCTTGAGAACTGCTGCAAGCCTCTGCAGGATGCGCACCGTCTGGTAGACAATGTCCTGCGACGTGGTCACCACCTGGATCGTGATGTCACCAGCGTAGATGTCCAGCGAGTGGTGTACCTCGTCTGTGTTGGCAAAGGATTTCTCGCACACGCCGAAAGGCAGCATCATTACCAGCTGCAGCAGGAACCTGGCTATCGAGCATCCTGGGAGCACTCCCCGGCTGACTTGGCACGAGTAGGAGAAGGAAGTGGTCCACTTAATTCTCCTCGGAGCGTAGTACATCGCCAGACACAGCTGCAGGATTTGTGTTGGAAACCTGTAGTGTTCAGCAGCCTGCAGCACTCGGCGCCAACAAACTCGGTCGAAGCACTTGCTGATGTCCACAAGCGTCGTGGTGGTGGCCCTTTGCTTATCCCGAGCGTAGGCCTCAGCATAAATCATGGTGCGCGCTCCCACGTCAAGTGTACATTTGTGGGTGCCCAACGCGAAATAAGGTCTGGTGTTCTGTGAGATCCAAATCCGAACTTGAGCAAGTCTGAGCTTCGTGTAGATGCGATACGTCGCTGGTAGTAGAGCAATTGGGCGAAACCCTCCTTGTGGTTTGGCTAGGAGCATGATGTGGACGTTGAGCATGACCGTCGGCCAGCGCATCCAAGCTTCAGCAGCCCAGTATATGTAGATCAACATGGCTAAGGCATCGTCCGATACCAGGGAGAGTGCAC